TTTCCTTTGGTGTAAATACATATTATATCTATAACTTTTTAATGAATTAATTCGTGACAATAACAATTTTCATTTTATAATTTACTAATGCATTTGTATTTATCTGATAAACGATTTGAGAATTTAAATGGGACGTAATAATGAACTAATAAACTAAAATTATTATTTTAATTATACGTATTAATCGTAAAATATTGTTGATACATGGAAAAGGTAGGTGTATAACTTTTGTTCAATTCGTTGGTAACAAGCGTTGTTTATACAATAAATAAAATAATGTGTACGTTATTTATTTTGAAAATTAATTTTTATTTTTTAGGAATAGTATTTAAATTTTTAAAAAAAACTTCATTTTGTATTTATAGAACAATACATTTGTATTTGCAGGATACACGTTCAGCTAACGAGATGAAAACACTGGCAAAATAGTCATCTTTTCACAGTGATGTCCTAGCTCAGGAAGCCCTCATTAAATTTGAGATTTTTTTTCTCTTTGGATCAATTAGGAAATTGTCTGAAAGGTCATTAAGGAAAAATGTTTTTATGTATTTCCTCGATTCCCGATAAAACATTATGAATTAGTGATAAATAGGTTTAGAATAAGGCACATTAGGTTCTTTCATGGGCACCTCATGTGACAAGCCAGAACAATGTATCACCTATGGGGAAGACCTTACTGTGAAACATATGATTAGTTGTAGAAAATATACAAACATCAGAAACAACGTAATTTTCCTGAAAATTTGTACGAATTACTAGGTTCGAACCATGAAATCACTGAAAAAGTTATTTCGTTATTAAATTAAACTAAATATTACAATAAAATCTAACTTTTTGAATTTTAAAATTATGTATATTTAAATACCTACATTTGTAAATATCTATTATATTATAAAACTTGTCAATTATTATGAGCCAATAACTAGAGCTTCTCTGGGGGTCTATTTTTGAATCGTCCGTTCGTCGAACGTATACGTTCGTTGAACGGACACGTTCCTCAAAATACGTCCAACGAACGGACACGTTCCTCGAACGTTTACGTTCGTCAAAATACGGTCAACGAACGGACACGTTCCTCGAATGGTCACGTTCGTCAAACGGATTCTATTGTTCCATTAGGTATACGGCCTTTTAGGTATTGTTCGATGAACATATATGTTTTACGATTGTTTGCAATCTATTGTAATAACATAAATAAATATTTTGAAAATTAAATTCATACAGCTTGATTTTTAATATTTTAATATTTATTTTTAATTAATATAATACTTTTTAATAACAATAATTTATTACTAATACATACATTTATAATTTGCTAATTTAATTTATTTGATGTGAATTTATTCTAAGTAATTCGCTAAAACTATATAAATAATTTAATTACACAAATTCTAACAAAAATGTATTTACAATTGCATACAAGTTAAATTAAAAATGATTAATACACTTTAAAACAACAATACTTAAATTTTCGAAAATAAAGTGTTACATATATTTTATTTTATTTATTCATTTTAAGATTAATTGATATAATTTATAAATTATGTTACATATAAATAAATAATAAATTTAATAAGATTTTAGTTCTTAATTGGAAAAAATGACACCCTAGGTCACGGTCTACTCCTAAATACGCCACTGTTTTGAAAAGTTGTTAACATAACAAACATATAATTTCATGAATAATTTTCACAAAAAACTTAAGGTAAATTTTCAAAAGATGGTTTATTACGAGGTGCAAGAATGCAACCAACAAAATAGTTGTTACACGTATTACGAGTTTTAATTAATATTACTGCGTAATCATAATATAATATTATGTTTCAATTTATTAAACATATCAAAAATGGAAATTAATTTATAATATTTTAATATTTTGTACTTTTTTTTTAGACAACGTAATATTTAAAACATAAATATTACTTTTTTCTGCACGTGTTCAAACAATAGGGGTAAAAATTTTTGAGTTAATATACATGTATAATACACAAGGGTTTACAAATACAGGTAGCTAATTGGTTTTTTATGACATCGATATTAGCAGGTACACAGCATTGTTATTATTAATAGTAGTAAGGCACATTGTTGTGAGTTTATAAATACACTAACTGACAATACAGAAGGTATATCTAATGATAGTCATAATTGATAATAAAGAATCCGTNAGCACATTGTTGTGAGTTTATAAACACGCTAACTTACAATACAGAAAGTATATCTATTGATAGTCATAATTGATAATAAACAATCCTTAACTGTTACAGCAATGCCATAAAAATCTAATTAGCTACCTGTATTTATAATCCCTTATATATTATACAATGTATAATATACATATATAGTATAAGGAATGAACTTAAAAAGTGTTACATAATTAATAATTCAAGAATGATGTGTAACTAAAGATAATCGAAAAAAAAATGTTTAATTTATTATTATTCTGTAAGTAATTGAGTGGGTAATGATAAAAAAATCACTCTGTATACAATGTATTTTATGGTTGCATTTTTCAAGTGAATTTTATTAAATAATGTGATTTTTGTTTATATTACTCAATTATCTCAAAAAAGGTCTCGCTGCATTTAAAGAGATTGTAAACAAATATTATGTATCATTGATGCGCTGTTGCATTGAAATAATTTGGAAACTATTAGATAATAGTTCTATTTAAAATAATTTTTAATATTTAACTAAAAATTTTTGTTTATAAATTTCAATCATTTTTTTAAACTAATTTATGTTTTGTATAACAACATAATTAATTGTAATAATATTTATTATAATAGATATATTTTTATTAATAAAAATATATATTAAATTTTTTTTTATGTTCCTAAGTCAATTAGGAAATCTTACTCAAACTGGGGGGCCTTAGTTCCCCTATTTCCGATTATAGCTACTTCTACGAATAATTGATTTGTTTAATAAATTTATTTAATGATTGACGATTTTATTTCAAAATTATATTTTAGGTAAATATGTTTGTCTAAAAGGCAAGTGTAAGGGTCAAACCTTTCTTTTGTTATTTATGACCGTCCGTTCGATCGACCGTTCGACCCACCGTTCGCTAACGGATGGTTTCTATTATCCGTTATGACGAACGTTTTTTAATGTTTTGAACGGTCGTCCGTTCGATGTTTCATACGTTCCGAACGTGTTCACGGACAACGTTCGCCATATAAACCTATATAAAATAAAATCTGAACGTATACGTTCGTGAACGGACGATTGAAAAATAGACCCCCTGGNTGAACGTATACGTTCGTGAACGGACGATTGAAAAATAGACCTCCAGGTCTTAAATAAAATAATAAGGTGCTTTTATGTATATTCTCCAAAAACAAAATTCTGAGAACACCCTTGTTACTCTTGTATACGGGCGTAGGTTTTTTTTATAAGAATTAGTCCCTCCAAAGTTCCGAAGAATCATATTTGTTATAAGGAATATTTAAAAAAAATAAAGATAATTTTCTTTGTTTTTCCTAAACTCCGACACCGTCCTTAAATTTTTGTGGTTTATATTCAATGAGTGACAAAAGTAGGTCATTGAGATTAATTTTGCACTCAAAAAATTTCTTTTATAGTAGACATAAATAGAATCTATAAAACTTATTCATTGAGGGAGAGTTTCTAAAATAGAGTTAAATAAATTATTTTTCAACATCATATATGTTCGTTGGGTCAAGCAAAAACATACAATCGAAACGAATGATAATGCGCCCTTTGCCATTATTATTTGTCTATACTTAAGCGAATAATTTTTCACTTCTATTTTAAATAATAGTAAAAACCATGAACACGATAAAAGACAATTTATTTTGTGCGTTTGAGAAGCGATAGATTTAAATAATCTTTTTATGTATTAACACATTAAAATCGCCTACTATTCCAGATTTTCAGATATAATTAAAAGTACGAGCTTTTCTTTGAATTGATATACGAGTGCAAATCGTGATCATAAAGGTTTACATTACTAATGAATATTGGTAACAGAACATTCTAATGAATTCCCTCCTATAAATTTATTTTGAATGTTTTGAATCTATTTTAACTTTTAAGTCCCAATTAAAATCAAAAAAGTACTGTAAAATTATATATTACACATTCATAATAATCATATATTTATTAAATATTACAATTTTCATTTAGTTATAAATACTATGTTTAAATGATAATGCTATAAGAGTTTATTGTTTATGTTGAAATTTTTTTAAATAATATATTACATTCATGGAACAGTGGTAATTACAATTTAGACTAGATATAATTTTAAAATTAATTAATAAAATATTTTTATTAACTAATAGTAGTGATGATAAACAGGTAACAGAATAAAATAAATTAAATGGACTAGATATCTTTGTTACTTTATTAATAACAAAGAAAAACGTATTAAATCTCAGTTTACAAGTGATAAGTACATATTTTTACGGAGAATAACAATTATTTAATACTATAAAATTTTTAACTACTGATAAATAAAATATCAAGGAATACTTATGAAAAAAATTAATGGTGCCCCACATTGTCAAAAATATGTGAAATCTAATTTTGTAACAATTTCATTGGAATTATTATTAAAAAAAAAAAAGCTATTTATGTATTTTTTTTAAGGAAATATCAAACTGATTTCAAAAATTGTATATTAGATTTTAAAGAAAACGAACTTTAAATAAATAATTTTTTACTCTTTAATATTTTATTTAAACATTTCTTTGAGCAACTTTGGAAATTATAATGATTTTATTAATTTATATAATAATTTAACATTTGTTAAAAAACTTATGTCACAAAATTAAAATTATTTAATGATGATTTAATATATTTTTACTTTTAGACGACACACAGGATTTGTAAATAAGAAAAAATTAATGTTACTTATATATAATCAAAAATTATTCATTCTTAGCACAACTTATATTAAAACTTGTAGCAAAACTTACACAGTTAATTATTTAAATTTTTTATACATAATTGTTTTGAAACATAAATTAAAAAATAAATTTATATTTAAAATAATATACACACAATTTACTTAGGAAATCAAAATCAAGCTGTTGAAAATAGATCTCGGTCTATATATTCAACACGGGATGTATTGATAACTGGAAGTGCTTCTTGTAGAGTACCCAGAGAACGGGGTAGACCAATTTACCTGTCTGAAAATGTTTATACTTACATACAAAACAGAAGTTTTACTAATATGTCTGACCTAAAATAAAAATGATTATGTTTTTTAATTTTTAGGCAAATACTAAGTTATATTATTTAATTTATTTACTTTGATTTCTTATTATTCAGACAATTAAGATGTATTTGCTACAAGTCTGACTGTAGGGGCACTGCTTCTATGGTATTAGTGCCAGAAAATGCAACCATTAGGTTCCTCCACGAGCACAATCATTTCTCAAATAATGATGTGGAGATCGGTGCTTATAATACACAACTCATGAGCTGGGCATTCACTGAGTCAACACAAACCTGGGCGCTATTGGAAGAAACTTCCAGAAAGTAATAAGACTAAAAAAAGTATATTCAACAATTACTGAATTGAAGTTATAAATACTATATTTTTTTACTTAGATAACCTAATGCAGCATAGGAAAAAAATCCAGAGTCCTCCCTTAGAATAATGCGTAACACATGGAGGAAATATTGCACCACATCCAAAATTATTGGATAGACACAATTAGACCTCAAGAATTCTCAGTTTATGGGTTCAGCATTTGAACAAATAATTAGTTATTTTAACTCTTCCCAAAGATACTTATTCACGTGGTCAAATTAGACTTGGAGCACCAAATTATATAATGTACACAAATTAACGATTTTATATTTATATTAGTCTTTATTTTTTAATAATTCACACTAATGAAGCAATCACTAATAAAACTTCACATGACAATTTTTACAGCACATATTCGTTATAGAAAAATTAGCTTAGATGTTAAAAAAAAGATGCAATTAGTTTAAGTTTTGTGGGTCAATTGAAAAAACTAACAGTTTTTTGATTTGATGAAAATATTTTGTAATTATTGAATAATTAATTCTCAAATATATATTCTAACAATAGAGCAAACTTTTTCAAACATTTATATTAAAACTATTAATTTTATGTTACTTAATAAAAGACTATTATTATTCGAGTATTAATAACATTTGTCAAATGTGAGAAATTGTAACTGAAAATAATAAGAAGAATGTATGTTATTGTATAATAACTATAGTAGCAAATAAATGATAATTAAAAAAAAAAATGTAATTAAAATTTTATAATATTATTAATAATAATATAATTTATTTAATAATGTAGTAGGTACTTACCCATTGGGAATTCAAAATACAAATAACGATAAAAGCCACGTGACCCTGATTAATTAATGCATAAGTGAAACTATTCGTTGTTTACTACTAATTGCCACTAACCCTACTACACTAATACCATAACAATACCGGTTCGTAAAAGTCATCATTAAGATAGTTAATATATTTTAAGTCAGTTTTGTATTATGGGGGGCATTAGCAGAACCTTTATATTCATTAACACGCTTATATTAGTTTCACCTGTATGTATGTATGTTTTTAACTCTCCAAGGGCCGCGCGTTATCGCATATTCCGTCGTCTATGGCCTTGAGACCAGACTGTCATAACGCATTCACCTCACCCCACGCCTCGCTCACCTAACGACGACAACACTATTCCTATATAAATTTATTTTTGGTTATTGTACCCGTACACGCGTGCTTGTCATCAATATTATATATTATATAAATATTATATAAACAAATTTTTATTTTGACTGACCAATATCATCCGCTTGTCATACTGCTTATGTATATATTCCTACCGCCGTTTATACCTCAGGTATAACGTTAGTCTGACCCGCCCGCCCACAAAACACGGATATACCTAGTGAATGATACGTTTACGTACTTAAGTCGCTTTACTTGTATATATATATTCTAATTACTTCTTCTTCTTTTACTGGCATTCTTACTCTCTAAGAGTTTTTGCCGCCATTACTACGTTTCGCCACCTATCTCTATCTTGGGCTGTCTCTCTCCAGTCTTCAACTCCAAGGATTCTTAAATCTTCTTCTACCACGTCGATCCATCTTTTCTTCGGCCTCACTCTAGGTCTTTTCCCTTGTGGTTTCCATTCCAATGTTACCCTGGCTATTTCGTTCTCTTTTCTTCTCGCTATGTGTCCTAACCATTGTATTCTTTGGCCCTTAATAAAACTTGTTACCGGTGCTATTTCCAACATGTCATATAGTTCTCTGTTGTACCTTCTCCGCCAACTCCCCGTTGTTTCATCGATGACTGGTCTGCATATTTTCCTCCACACTCTGTGCTCAAAAGTCCTCAGGTTTCTTTCTGTTTGTTTGGTCGTTGTCCACTCTTCGCAACCATACGTGAGAGTCGGTCTTATAATAGCCGTGTACAATCTTGCTTTCGTTTTTCTAGATAGAATTTTGGATGTAAAGAATTTAATTATTGTGTAGAACGTTTTTTGAGCTTTATTTATCCGAATACTTATTTCCTTTGACCAATCATTCTTTGTACTTAACGTTGCTCCCAGATATTTAAAATTGCTAACTTTTTCGTATGCTAAATTCTCCATCTCACTAGGGCCCTCCCCACTATCTAATAGTTCCATTATCTTTGTTTTCTCAGTATTTATTTCAAGACCAATTTTTTTCGCTGCTTCTTCTAGCACTCTGGCAGCGTTAGCTGTATCTGCAAGCGAATCGCCAAGTATATCCAAATCGTCAGCGAATCCGAGGAGCCGTATCTTATTCTGGCCGATTAGTAAACCACCTTCATTGTCCTGTAGTAATCTTACTACCGTCTCTAGGGCAAGATTGAAAAGTACTGGGGAAAGAGCATCCCCCTGTTTTAGCCCGGTTTCTTTGTACAGGCTTTACGTTCCCGTATGAAACTTTCTTTAGTCATTTGAGTGTTGTTTTTAATAAATTAATTTCTCGATTTTCGGCGTCTGTCTACAGCAACTCTACAATTATCATTATACCAAGTATTTCTTGACCTTTTTAGCTCACTAATACTAGTGGCCGCTGCTTTGTTAACAGCGTTTCTCTCTATTTCCCAATCCAGATATATGTTCATTTGTGCATTATTCTCTTTAAGGTTCTTCGTGACTTCGTTCTCATAATTCTTCCTCACTATTTCATCTTTGAGTAACTCTAGATTAATTTTGATCCCTTTTTCTTGCTTTAATTTCGATTGGCTTTTTAACTTTGATTTAAGTTTTGCAATCATTAAGTAGTGATCCATGTCACAATCGGCGCCTCTCTGGCTTCTTACATCGTAAATGGCACTACGGTATCTAGTCTATATGGAGATGTGAGTCGGTATTATACATATGTATTATACGGTATGATACACGCGTATAAAATTATTTTATACCGGCTGTATCAAAAAAAAAAAAAAAAAAATCTTTTAT